ATACGTGGACGGATGATATCACTAAAGGAATGCTGCACTGTCCTTGGGATGGTTGTAAGTTCTCGAAGCTCTATGAATTTTTTGAAATTTATTTGCTCAGTTTGAAATTACAGAATTGTTTCTCTCTGTTTTTAAAAACTTTTTTTTTTCCGCCAAGTTAAACTGACACATAGACTTTTGTGAAGGGGGGTTATGGAATCGGTAGCCTCTGGGTCACAGTTAACTCTGGTTGGCGTTACATGTACGCAACAAGTATCCCTGTGCCAATTATTATGGGAATTGGAATGTTTTGGCTACCAGCATCCCCAAGGTGGCTTTTATTGCGCGCTCTCCAGGGGAAAGGGAACGTGGAGAACCTTCAAGAGGCTGCAATTAAGTCGCTTCGCCGTCTTAGAGGGCCGGTCGTAGTTGACACAGCCGCTGAACAGGTAAACGAGATCGTGGCTGATCTTGCCTTTGTGGTTGAGGATAAAGAGGCTACAATTGGTGAAGTTTTTCAAGGCAAGTGCTTGAAAGCTCTCATTATAGCAGGAGGTTTAGTCGTGTTACAACAGGTTCGTGCAGCCAATTCATCAAATATTCCTTATGGAAAATAACATTTTGCTAACTATAATTTACTTTGCAAATGGCAGATAACCGGGCAACCAAGTGTCCTTTACTATGCCGCATCGATATTACAGACTGCTGGCTTCTCTGCTGCAACCGATGCTACTCGGATCTCGATCCTGCTTGGCGTATTTAAGGTACATATATTTTCTTCCATCTGGTTTGACATGTCAGATCCTTTCCGTAATGTAAAACTGGAGGGTGAATACGCTTTGTAATACAATCTCTGGTACCGATGTTAGAAGTAGCGAGTACATTTCTGGAATGCTTATCACATTTTTATCCTTGTAAACTAAAGTTTCTGCTGTAAAGCTACTGACTTGGTTCCTTTACTGTTGCAGTTGGTTATGACTGGAGTTGCTGTTATAGTTATTGACAGACTTGGAAGGAGACCTTTACTTCTTGGTGGTGTTAGTGGCATGGTCTGTCCTCTGTCTTATCCAGACGTTTCTTTCTTTTTTTTTTCGTTTTGTTTCAACAAGTTCCACATATTCACCATCTCTTTCGATTTTGAAACTTAGTCTCTTGTGTAACAACAGGTGATCTCATTGTTCCTACTGGGCTCCTACTACCTCTTTTATAATACTGTACCAACTGTTGCTGTAGCTTCATTACTACTCTATGTGGGCTGTTACCAGGTTAAGTATTTTTACAGATTTCTCTGGTCAAAGTTCCCTTCCCTGGCAACGTCATATGCGTTTTAAGAGTTACTAAAAAATTTGTTGTCGTCAATCTTGCAGATATCCTTTGGCCCGATTGGTTGGCTGATGCTTTCAGAGATATTTCCCTTAAGATTAAGAGGTCGAGGAATCAGTATAGCAGTTCTTGTGAATTTCGGAACAAACGCATTTGTGACTTTCGCTTTCTCACCTCTTAAGGTAAATGTATAACGATTCCAGAATCAAGAAACTCCTTCACTCTATATATGTTCTTTCAACAGAACTAAGTTAACTTACTCAAAGATCTAAGATACATTCTCATATACATGTGGTTATCCAACTTTTGTGGTGTGAATGAGCTAACATGGTTTTGGTTGCAGGAGCTGCTAGGAGCTGGAGTGTTGTTCTGTGCATTTGGAGTGATAGCTGTATTGTCTCTCTTCTTCATATACTTCATTGTGCCTGAGACAAAGGGACTCACTCTTGAAGAAATTGAAGCCAAATGTCTTTAAAAGGTTTCTCATCTTATCTCTGCTGATCACACATTGCTTGAGGCTCTGAATGGCAAACGCAGCAACCGCGGTTGGGGTCACACCATTCACCCAACAAAAAGGAATTGAGACGCGGGATTTCATTATTTGGAAACGGTGCAGCTCGCGGGAAAGATTTGGGGCGTTGGACAACTTTTAAAATTCGTATTTATTTCCAAAATGTAAGAAGAACTCAGTCACACCATTTAGTTTTTGTTCTATTGCATCATTTTTTTTTTTAGTTCCTTGTGTTTGGTCCATGTAATCTACATTGAATTTTTGTTTAGTACTGTAAAAAAAATTCAAAACTGTATGAAACATTGTGACGTCACTGGTTATCACACAAAACATGTTATATAACGTCATTACAGAGGAAATAAAAATATACGAGAATCTTCTTTTCATTTCTAGCGGTTGTGGCTATCATATCATCACACGAATTCACTCACAAACCATATAAATGCAGACGCGTCCTCAACGTAGCAAGAAGAGAACAAAAATCATATTTTTGTCATCAAAACCTTAAAATCAACGAAAATGGCGACCACAGGCGACGGTAAGGCGACCAACAAGCAGGTCATATTGCGAGATTACGTCACCGGTTTCCCCAAGGAATCAGACCTCATCTTCAACGAAACCACCGTCGATTTAAAGGTTCCGGCGGGATCCAAGACGGTTGTGGTGAAGAATCTCTACTTGTCATGCGATCCTTACATGCGAATTCGCATGGGGAAACCAGATCCCGGGACTGCTGCTCTCGCTCAAGCTTTCAATCCCGGAGAGGTATCATCGACGTTTACAAGCTCTTACGCACACTTCGTAGATTGTTCTTTTGAAAAATGGTGAAATTCGATTGGAATTAACACGATGTTGTGTTTGTTTTCTCGTCGTGATTAAGTTTCGAGCTTGTTAACCTCGTTTTTGGAAACAATTTCACAGTTGAAGCAGTGATACATTTGAAAAATCATTTTAAAATCCAGAAACATTATTCTATTCTGTGAGTCTGTGACCAGTACGATGTTCTTATAAAATAATTCGAGTTTACCTGTATTAAAAAAAGTGATTGTCTTTTGGGATTATGTCTTACTCGCTCAGGTGCTAAAGCTTTCACTGTGTTGGTTTTGCAGCCAATTTCTGGCTATGCAGTGTCTAGAGTGATAGATTCTGGACACCCAGATTACACAAAGGGAGACTTAATCTGGGGATTAGCTGGATGGGAAGAGTATAGTGTTATAACTCCAAATCCTTCACATTTTAAGATCCAACACACCGATGTTCCGTTATCCTATTACACTGGACTTCTCGGTATGTGATCTCGAGCTTCTCTTTTGGTCATGCTTGTAGCTCACTTGATAGTTTCAGAGAAAATGTGAACTTTATAGTAATAAAGCCTGGCTATACGATACTTGATGTACTTCTATCTATGACTCTTCGCTTGATACATTTGTCATTATGGTCTGGTCTTGGATTGTATTGCATGCTTTATTGACACAAGCTCCCAATCATGTAGAGATAACGTTGTTGGAAACTCTACAAGTTTCAATAGTTTACTATTGGTCTTAAAAGCATTGCTCTGTTTCTGACAGGTATGCCCGGTATGACTGCCTATGCTGGGTTCTATGAGGTCTGTACTCCAAAGAAAGGAGAGACTGTCTTTGTGTCAGCTGCATCTGGTGCAGTTGGTCAGCTTGTGGGACAATTTGCAAAGATCATGGGATGTTATGTCGTTGGAAGCGCCGGCAGTAAAGAAAAGGTAATCAGACTTTACTTCGAACTCTAGCTGTTGACCCATTACACATCAAACGATTACAGATACACATTTCAATTGGTTTCTTTCATGTCTTTCAATCAAGGGATTGACTTGTCCCCTTTTTTCTTTCTTCGTTGACCTTTGTTATAGGTTGATCTTCTCAAGAATAAGTTCGGTTTTGATGAAGCTTTCAACTACAAAGAAGAGCAAGACCTTAATGCCGCCCTGAAGAGGTCAGTAAAATCCTTAGTTTCACATACCGATATATAATTTCTTCATGGAACAGAGATTTAACTCAAATATATGAGATATTTTTCTTTACCAGGTATTTCCCAGAAGGCATCGACATATACTTTGAGAATGTAGGAGGCAAAATGCTAGACGCGGTGCTCCTACAAATGAAGCCACACGGCCGTATCGCGGTATGCGGAATGATCTCACAGTACAACTTCGAGGACCAAGAAGGAGTACATAACCTAACAACCATCATCTACAAGAGAGTTCGGATTCAAGGGTTTGTGGTCACTGATTACTTCGACAAATACTACAAGTTTCTTGATTTTGTGCTTCCGTATATAAGAGAAGGGAAGATCACTTATGTTGAGGATGTAGTTGAAGGGCTCGAGAATGGACCTTCTGCTTTGATTGGACTCTTCCATGGTAAGAACGTCGGCAAACAACTCATAGTGGTTGCTCGTGAGTGAATGATATCTGGTTTTTAAGTTGGAGAGGAGTTATTGGAGCTTGTTGTAGTTTGTTGTAGTTGTATCAAGATGTTTAAGTTTCGTTTTTACACTGCACTTTCTTGGAAATAAAAGCCTTTATGTTTGTCTACGATTGCATTTGGATTATTGAAGTTTTGTTTTGATTTTTTGATTAATAACTAGTCAAATAACTATCTCGCTATATCATAAATTCACGATTTTGACAAAAATGCTTTTATCATTCATGTAACATGAATACATGATTGTACATGTTGGTGAAGTGGGTTGGGGTGGTTGGTTTTTGGGGGGGGGTTGGGTGATGTATCTTACACTGCACTTTCTTGGAAATAAAAGCCTTTATGTTTGTCTACGATTGCATTTGGATTATTGAAGTTTTGTTTTGATTTTTTGATTAATAACTAGTCAAATAACTATCTCGCTATATCATAAATTCACGATTTTGACAAAAATGCTTTTATCATTCATGTAACATGAATACATGATTGTACATGTTGTAGTGATATTTTTATTCATAAAGTACTGTACTGTTAATCAGAATTAAAATATAGTAATACAGTATGTCCATTTTTCTGATGTATTTAGCTAATTCTCCAACACGAAGAACTAAAACGTGGGCTTTTATTTGTTTGCCAATTAATATGGGCCTAAGCATAGGCGTTATTGTAGTTTCCGCTTCACAATCAACTCTCTCTCTCTCCTCGAGACTTCTGGTTATTTCGTTGTTGGAGATATGGCGTCGAATCTCCTGAAAGCACTTATCCGATCGCAGATTCTTCCATCTTCGAGGAGGAACTTTAGTGTTGCTGCCACTCAAATCGGCATTCCTACAGACGATCTAGTCGGCAATCACACCGCCAAATGGATGCAGGTATTGGCGATTTTGTAGCCCTAATTTTTTTTTCTTTCACGAACGGCCTAATTTGCGTGAATTAGATCGTGATTTGGCATATTTACGATTTGCTCATCCGTTATTGTTCTCTGAAATTTGGGATTCGCGAAGCTGTGTTTACTGGCATTTAATTGGATTTTGGAAATCACAGATCATTTTCGTAAATTGACCTTAATGTCTGTATTGGTTAGCCCGAGTTTGCGTAAATTATTCTTAATGCTCTTTCTTAGGGTTAGATCGCGATTTGGCATGTTACGATTTTGCTCATCCGGTATTGTTTTTTTTCTGAATTCGGTCACGGATGTTTGATTCATAAAACTGTGTTGCTGGTATCAAATTGGATTTTGGATATCACAGGGAAACTATCATTTCCGTAAATCGTCCTTAATGAGTCTCTATTGCTTAGTCGCTTGATTAAATGAAGGTACTCATTTCGATGTTAGATCAGAGTTCATAGAGGCATGATATCTGCTCGGGAGTTGCTTGAATTTGACATTGGACCTAGTTTCTAGATGTATTACTCCGTTTTGCTTCTCTTCTTCTATTACCTGGAGAATTTGTTACTGAGCGATGAAAACTATCTCTGCTAAGATCATTCTCGTTGGGTGAATTTAGGGCTGCTATTTCCTTGCCCATCTTCAATCAGAATCCAGTGCTACCTCAATAAATTAGCAAATAGCTGAGAGAAGAATAGAGTAGGCGGTTGAGATAGCTAAATAAAAAGGTCTTCTGCTTCCCCTGATGACTGTGAACTATCTTTGATGGATTATTCTTAGGGTATGAGCTTGAAATCTGGTGCATTAATATGTTGTATAACATGGTTATGTCGATCTTATTCTGCATCTCACAAGTGCATAGCAATTTTCCTTATTCATTAGTTTAATCATCACAACGATTAGCTTAGATTATAATTTGCTTTAAATTTGTTTCTCAGCAGGTTTTATGGTGTCACTTCTCTTTGCTACCTGAAGTTTTTGATTGTCTGAAATTATGTTTATAAAAAAAAAAATAGATACGCTTGTGATTGCATTGGTTATTTGAATACAACTGTGTCATAGGGGTTTCTTAGGTTGTTACTACCAAATAGTACATTACATAGGATTCTCGATATATCTCTATAGACACTTGCAATTTAGATAAGTTAAAGATGGCAGCCCTACTTACTACTTACATTGGAAACTAAATGATTCGTTTGGAGAATTGGAATTGTCGAGTTGAGATTTCCAAATTTATATAGATACATCGCACATGCTCTATACCATCGGTTCTTTCTGGTGAATTAGTTTGCGTATCACATTTTGATTTTGTTTGCAACTTCTCTGGTAGAGTTTTGAATAACGCTGTTGAAGGAACTAATCTGTACAGGATAGAAGCAAGAAGTC